TGATATGCAGACAACTTTCTTTTCTTAATTTGAGTGACTATTACACAAATGTTTTGTGATTGTTATATATTAATGTCTGTGTTATACTTCATGCGATGGCTAATTTCCATTGCCAACCTCACTGTGCTATCACTGAGGAGCACCTTTGGGTGTGTCTGTAGAAGATGTTTCCAGAAAGGATTAACCGAGGCAGTAAGGCCTGCTTGAACATTAATACCACTTTCCCAACGCTGGAGTCCTAGACCAAATAATGCTAGGAGCAGCATGACTTGTCCTGTCGTCCGACCTTCTGGGATGCCAGGCTCCCAGAGCTGTAGGAAGACTCTGCTACCATGTTTGCCCCAGCAGAAAAGAAGGTACCCTCCTTCTTAGCAAGCATTCACAGTCACAGCAATGAGAAAAGTAGCTAATATGGTTCATATCAAAAGTTTTTAAACAGATCTAATTTGGAAACACTTAAAACCTGTTACAATCAGCCAGGTGGTGGGGGCAAATGCCTTTAATACCAACACTTGGCGAGCAAAGGCAGGTAGAACTCTGAGTTTGAGGCCAGCCTAGTCTACAGAAATTCCAGAACAGCCAGGATAGTTACTCAGAGAAACCCTGTCTAAAAACAAAAAACAAACAAAAAAAACCCCACAAAAACAAACAAAAAAGCTTGTTACAATTACAATAGCTTTTACTAATTAATAGGAATTCTAGCTAGTAAAATACTAGAATTTAGAAAAAACTATATGCTGGTTCTTAGACAAAACCAGATTCAATCTAGTATCCTAAAGAGGATACTTTCATTTCTCTCTACCTAGTAATAGCAATTCATTGTGTGTGTGTTCAAGTATACGGATGTGTGAAGGCCAGAAAACAACTCTGGGAATTGTATTCCAAGAGCCATCCAGCTTGCTTTTTTGTCTCATAGCACTGGTACATGTATACACATATGTGTGTGTGTGTGTGTGTGTGTGTGTGTGTGTGTATAGATAAATTTAAGTGTGCATGTGAGACGGCTAATCTTGTCAACCTAACACATCTGTAATGGAGCAGAACCTAAGCATCTGTAATGGACTAGAACCTGTGTGGGATTTTCTTGGTTGGATCATTTGTGGTGGGAAAACTCATTCAAACTCTGGGCCACACCTTCTGGTTGCAGGCCACGTAAGGTACAGAAGGAAACTTTGCTTTTTTGCCTCCTATCACTTACTCTCACTGGTAAGTTCATCTGTCCTGTTGCTGAGACATTCCTTCCCTGGTTTTAGAACCCACTTCTTTGGGATTCCAATGTGGACCAAAGACAGGTACCTCTCTATGACTCCAGCACCAGACCGGGGCTACTGGGACATCCAGTCTTGTGGACTGAACAATTCAGGCCTTGACCTTCCTGCTGGGAGACAGTCATTGCTGGACTACGGGGACCACAGCCACTCCAATAAACCCTGTATGTATGTACTAATGTATGTACTAGCAGGTCTGTTCCTCTAGAGAACCCTGACTAATACATCTGTTCCTAAACATATAAATACAATCTGCTTCGATCTGTATGTTACTTGTATGTATACAATTTTAGGGCTGACCACTTAAGACTGGACGGACACCCAGTTGGTGTGCTCTTCCCTGACTGGAAGTGACCAGAAAGCCTCCTTCCTGAGGACCAGCTTCCATGGTACCAAGAGGCACCATGAGAGTTTCCTAAGGAGAAAAACAACCAACAGGCCTACCCACTCAGGATGCCTACAAACCACAACAACATGCAGCACAGCCTAAGGGTACAATAGTGATTACCTCGCCAGTCACCAGCTCACTCACTGGAGGCCCACTCCATAGGAGGGAAATCAAGGATGGTACTGGAAACCAAGCCTACTACCCTGCGCTAGTGAAGTCACAGATCTGAAAGAACCTACAACCACCACTTTAATTAACCCAGGATAATCCTACATAATCCTATAGTATAATACATTCTAAATTATTTATCCTAATGCCCATAGAAAAGTAGAGTTCTCATCCCTCACCAGCTTGGTTTTCTGAGGCAGGGTCTCCCACAGGCCTGGAATAACCAACTAGCTACGCTGGAGGGCCTATGAGCCACCAGAATCCTCCTGTCTGTCTCCCAAGAGCTGAGATTGTAAGGGCATGCCACAATTTGGGAGGCAGAGGCAGGCAGATCTCTGTGAATTTGAGGCCAGCCTGGTCTACAGAGGGAGTTCCTGCAATCCCAGCATTTGGAAAGCAGGATCATCCATGAATTCAAGGCTCGATTTACCTACATAGTGAGGTTCAAGTCAACCAGAGCTACAAAGAAAGATCCTGACTAAAAAAAGAACAAATTAGGTTTAAAAATCCCAGTTATGCTGGGTGGTGCTGGTGCACGCCTTTAATCCCAACACTCAGGAAGCAGAGGCAGGAGGATCTCTGTGAGTTCAAGACCAGCCTGGTCTACAAGACCTAGTTCCAGGACAGGCCAGAGCTGTTACACAGAGAAACCCTGTCTCGAAAAACAAAACAAAACAATCCCAGTTATATTGAAATTTATTTACAATGTATTAAAATGTATTTCCAAGTTTGGCTTAATTTTCTTACTTTTATATTTTAACAGCTAGCTTACGCTACTCAAATGCAGTTCCTAAGCTGCTGTTAAATGATTTCAATAATAATTTGAAATATTTGTCCATTTACTTGGTGACAGTGGCTTTGAGTGCGACAGCTGAAATGGAAGTGTCATAAATGAAGGACCTACTTGCAAGGCGGCATATTCTGGTTCCTAAACAGTACGGCCGCACTCCCTGCTGACTGACTTTAGACTGTTTTACTAGTCACTCTGCTTTCCAGGGTGGGTTAATGTCAGTGACAGCTTAGTGGGCAAAGGAGCCTGCTGCCAAGCATATGACCCGAGTTTGACCCCTGAGACTAAGTGATCGGAGAGAACCAATTACCATATGTTGTCTACTGACCACACCCCCACCCCCAAGAGCAATAAAAAAAATTAATAATTATTTTGAAAAGAAGGCAAGAAAAATCAATTTACAATTACATACAACGAAGTTTGACTATTTCTGTAAAGTGCTTAAAAGCAGCTGGGCAGTGGTGGTGCACACGAATTTCTCCTGGCTCGCCAAAGCTGAGGCCCAGTGAGTTCAAGGCCAGCCTGGTCCACAGAGGAAGTTCCAGGACAGCCAAAGCTGCACAGAGAAATCCTTTTTCGGAATATCAAAAACAAACTAAGAAGCAAAAAAAAAAAAAAATCAACCACACCTTATGGCTCTTGCCTATAATCCCTGCATCTTTAAAAAAATACAGCAGTAGGAGCTTGAGGTGTCTGTGCAACATACAGGTGGCTAGCCTAGAATACACAATGAAACCTTTATCAAAAAAGAAAAAAGAAAAAAATGGTGCTAGGAATGAGGAATGGTGGTATGCATCTATAACCCTAGCCCTAGAGAAACAGGCAAAGAGTCCCCACAAGTTCAATACCATCCTGGTCTATATACCAACTTGCTGGCCTGCCAGGGCTCTATAGTGAGACCTTGTCTCAAATCGAGATTGGGAGGGAGGGGGCGGTGGCCAGGACTATGGAACTAGATAGTAAATCTTTTAAGTATGTTACAACCTCCGTGACTACATCACTGTAATGTAAAAGCAGTCACATACACTATGAAAATAAATGTGACTGGATTCCAATAAAAGGTTATTTATGGAGCTGGGCGTAGTGGCTGAGGCAGGAGGGTGACCTAGAGTTGTAGTAGGCAGCTCTGCCTGCCTAATCTACACAGTCCATTCCACTCCATTATGGAGTAAAAGAAACACAACCCTGTGTCAAAAAAAAAATACCCCTTAATATTTTTTTTTTCTTCTGGGAGTGGTGAAGCAAGCCTTAAACGTTGCACTTGGGAGGTAGAGAGAGGAGGATCAGAACTTCTAGGCCATCTTCAGATACACAGCTAGGTGAAGGCCAGAATGGGTTACATCAGAAAAGTCACAAAACAAGCCATCAGGGGAAAAGTTGGGTTTAGTGTGCCTGCGGCTGTCTACTACGCAAACTGCGCACGCCTAGGAAGAAAGTTCAGGGCGGCGAGCGTCGCTGTCAGGAACCTGGCTGGGGCCAGGTGAAGCAGGTTGAATGTCCTGGGCCGCCGCGCTCCGCCTCCCCAGCCGGGACCCAGCCAGGGCGCAGCCCTGCGGAGATCCCCGCCTGGC